ATATATATATTGTGCATTTAGGCATTAATCCTTCTTTTCATGCTCATTTCCTTGAATACGACAGACAAGGTGCTTTGATTTAGTTTTTTTACACAATTTCTCATGTGATCTAATATTTTTTTTCTTTTCAGATGATAAATTATATATTTCGTAACATACTTGTTGACAACACTAATATAATAGCATCATCCACATGCAAAAATGGCTAAAAATAATGCAAGCTTTATTAATAAAAACAAAAAAAAAATCAACACTTAATACAGTATAACCCGGATATAAGAGACCCGCATATAAGAAAAACCCGGATATAAGAGAGATTTTCTCTGGTCCCAAATTAGAGCCCATACTTACCTAAACAAAATAGACCAAACCCGGATATAAGAGAAACCCGGATATAAGAGACTTCTTCTCCGGTCCCGACAACCATCTTATATCCGGGTTACACTGTAATATTAACTTTGAACATGGACATAATATCTTGACCGTGTTTCGAAAAATTAAAACATTTTCTAAAACATACATGCAACTCTTTCATATTTAACAGTTAAGATATTTCATCCTTGAAAATGGCTAAATGTATAGCAGAAAGCGCTCGGTTAAAATGGATATTCAGACAGTTTTTATATAATTTATCATCTGAAAAGAAAAACATTTTTATTAAAAAATGATTTCATTGAATACGACAGACAAGGTGCTTTTATTTAGTTTTTTATACAATTTCCATGCGATCTAATAATGTTTTCTTTTCAGATGATGAATTATATAAAAACAGTCTGAAAGTTCTTTCTATCCAAACGAAAGAAAGAACAGACGGAGTAAAATATGACTGTTCGTAGCAATATATTAATACAAGGTAACCAAAAAAGTCCGTTTTTTGATTATTCATTGAATGAAGTTGAAATATATACGAAATGCGTGTAGCAATTGTTTTCAAATTCGGACAGCCGGAAGTAGGAATATGAGACGTTATAAAAAACACGCGCACCGTGCCTGGCCATCAGTTATAAGCCGGACAGCAGTGAAAAGGATGGAAGTGTCTAGAGATCTCGTTCGGGGCTGTTTGCTTTACGACTTCAAAGTGGGCTTTATCAGAAGCTGCATCAAGTCGCCGCATATGTCAAGCGTTTGGGGATAGTGCTGTGGATGAACGTACTGCAAGGCGTTGGTTTCAAAAATTCAAGTTGGGAGATTTGTCTCTCCATGATGAGCCTCGCAGTGGCCGACCACAGGTCTTGAATGACGGAGTCCTGAAGGCGGCCATTGAAGAGGACAGTAGTCTAACGTGTGGTGAACTTGCAAGACAGTATAACGTTTCCGATGGAACAGTTAGACTTCACCTGCACCGCCTAGGTAAGACGTACAAACTGAGCAAGTGGGTTCCGCAAACGCTTACCAGTGATGAAAAGTTCCAGACATTGGTTATCTCCCCAGGATGCTGTCCCTCACACCGCAAGACCGCCTATGCACCCACGCAAGATTATACATTGTGTCTGGTGGACAGGTCGTCAAGTGGTTCATTATGAACTGCTGCCAACGGGCCGAACGGTCACTGGAGACCTATACCCGCAGCAATTGAAACGTGTGCAACAGGCATTGCGCCAGAAGGATCCAGCACTGGTGAATCGCAAAGGTGTGCTTTTCCTCCATGACGCGCCAGTCCGCATGTCGCGCCAGTCCGCATGTCGCGCGAGTGGTCAGGGATACCATACAGCAACTTGGGTGGGAGACTTTGTGCCATCCACCTTATTCACCTGACCTTGCGCCATCCGATTACCACCTCTTGCACTCCCTGGATAATCACCTTCGTGGGAAATCCTTCACCAATGAAACAGATTTGAGCAAAGCCCTCACGGACTTCTTTGCGTCACCCCTCCCCCTCCCCCAGCCCGTGTTGAACAACTGGAAACACGTTGGCAGAAAATGCTGGATGGCGATTACTTCGAAGACTAAAATATAAGTTGCACATACTGTGAAATGTTTTCTTTTTTTTCCTTTAAAAACGGACAGAACTTTTTTGGTTACCTTGTATTTTTATTAGAAGAGATTATAATAAAAATATGTTTTACTATAATCTATATATATATATATATATATATATATATATATATATATATATATATATATATATATCATAGTGAGTAAACAGCCGGCTGGAAAGAATGAACACATCCAATGTTCTTTTTTATGTACCGTGTTTACCCTGTTCCTTCAGGATATAGGCGATCATGGTCCTTCACATCGTCCTGTCTTTTGTAGGTCTTAAGTTTTGTCTTTTTGTTATTTCTCCCAGACTATTCTGCCATCCACTTTCCCAATCCCATTAAGTATATCATGCGTTGCTTTCCCCTGTCCCACTTACCCTCTATCTTGTGAGCATCAGATTTTCCAAGCCCTCTTTCCTCATTACGTGTCCCAGAAATTTCAGCTTACTCTTCCTGATACTAAGTTCCCTCTTTGTTTACCTTCTCTCCAAAACATGGCCGTTGCTCCTGATAACATTCCATTCTAACTGAGTCGATCTTGAATTTTTGCCTTTTGTACTCTCAATGTCTGTATCAACGTCTGACGTAATTTCACATCAGACCTCAAGAACTATGCTATACGATTGATGGCTAAACAAAATAGGTACGATAAATAACAAAACTCATTTTATAACCACCTGCAAGCAACGCTATATATATATATATATATATTTCGCATTAAATAATTATCATAAAACAAATCCCATAGCTAAGTAAAATTCTTAAAAGGCCCCTGATAACATTCCATTATCACAGAGCCGATCTTGAATTTTTGCTCTTTGTACTCTCACTGCGGTTACATTCATTGAATGTCTGTCTCAATTCCACCTCAGACCTCAAGAACTATGCTGTACGATCGATGGGGGATCGATGGCTTAAAATATGGACGGTTCCTTGTGTCGATCCAGAAATCTGGCTGTATTTTTACAAGAGTGAGACCAGATCAAAAATTGTGTTATGTATAGGGGGGTGGGGGCTCAGTCGTTATTTTCCAGGCTTCTGAGAGTTTGAAATCGTTTGCACGATGAAGGATCATTTTCAAAGCAAACGATCCTCTTCCTAGCGATGAAACGACGCACACGATTGGCAATTCTGTCGCTATTTCCAACGCATTTGTAAAGACGAACTGTATTCGTTCATTCACCATTTACAGGCTAAGGAGCTCTCTTTCAAATACGTGGGACAAAATCACTCTTGTTCACTTTGTATTCCAGCAGTATGAAGAAAGTAAAAATCAGACAACTTCTTCCCAAGAGCCAATACTTTGTGGAACAAACACCCGAGATGATGCTTTCCCGAAATTTAAAATCTTAAAGTCTTCCTCTACAATCAACCGTTATCTATCCTACATATCCTTATAATCTTTCTTTTTATATGCCGTGTCCTTTCAGGACGTAGGCCGATCATGGCTCTCCACTTCTCCCTACCGCTTGTAGCTCTCAATAAGTTTTGCCCCATTACTACCTCCCCCAGACCACGTTCTCTCATCCACTTCCTTAAGCCTGCCAGGTATGTCATGCGTTGTTTCCCTTGTCTCTCTTTTCCTCTATTCGACCTGTGGGTATCAGATTCTCCGAGCCAACCTTTCTCATTTCGTGTCCCAGAAACTTCAGCTGCCTCTTCTTGATGTTAAGTATAAGCCTCCTGCTTCTCTGCATCCTCTACAAAACCTCATCGTTGCTCACATGCTAGGGTCCATTATATCCTCAGCATCCTTCTGTAGAACCACATCTCCGTAACCTCGAGTCTCTTCTTCATCTTTGAGGAGACCATACAAGAAGAGACCATACAAGAGGACAGATATCAGTACTCTTTTCTTAAAAAGAGACCCTCATGTCTCGCAATACTCTGCCCAGCATTTGGAATAAGTCCTTGGCCATCTTAATACGTCTACGGATCAGCTCAGTACTCTTTTCTTACAAAGAGACCCTCATATCTCGCAATACTCTGCCCAGCATTTGGAATAAGTCCTTGGCCATCCTAATACGTCTACGGATCTCAGCGTCGCACTTGCCGCCCGCTGTCAAAACACTTCCCAAATATTTAAACTTCCGCACATTTAAACTTCTTAATTCCGACACTTACGTCCATATAAATATCTCAGTCACTAAGCTGGATGTCTCTCGGGCCTTTTTTGTGCGAGAAATTTAATAAAAAAAAAATATCGCACATTAAGGAGAAGCTGAAAGTATATGCGTCCGCTATGTATAGCCGTAAATTGTACAGACGAGAAGTTTTGAAATTAATATTCAAAGCACAAGTGTTAAGAAAAAAAAATACGGCAGCAGAGAGCAGTGATCGCAAATTGTGTGCACAGAAATCTTCGCGTTATTACGAAGAAAATTATGACCCCTTTTTTGGATTTCCAATCACGTTTCTTCATAATTACAGTTTGTTAAAGAAGAGCCCTTTTGAAAATGATCCCGTCCGTTCAACAAAACGTTCCGAAGCAACGCTATTTTTATTTTTATTTTTTTTTAACAGCCCGCGAGATTTCTACCTGTCCCAGGATGTACCTCTCACGTGAGAATCATCTCATATCAATTTCTATTAGATATTTCCGTCAAGTTCGCTGCGAAATCTACCACTTGCAGGTAAATAATACGACCGGCGTCCAAAATAGAATCCATTCTATATTAAAAGATTTAATTAAGATCCCACTGTCGGTATGCTCAGCGCGGGAAATCGTCGAAATTGTCCGACATCGTTCTTCGTTTCAACATCGCCTGCTCTGAATGTGTAATCACATCGTAACCTTGAACGAGCGAATAGCGCGCGGTAGGGGAAATGGTAGTGACTGGTAATTTAATTACGCCGCTATTTTAAAGATTACGGGACTTATTATTTGGAGGCTTAAATTGGCCAGCAAGTCTTCAGAATATTTAGAAAGAAAATTGTCATTCGGAATAATGGCGAACAATGGTTTCGTAGAAAAACAATCGAATTTGTTAACGAAGTAAAAGGAAATGAAAGATATTA